GACTGCATAGCAGGCAGCATCTGAAGTGAAAAGAAAAAAGGATGTGGTTTCACTGAACACAATCATCCAGTGGCCATGCTGTCTAGAGATTCTGGGAACTGTAGCCCCAAAGTTTTTCTTCTTTTTCCCAAATTCTGCCATAGAAGTTTCTTAGTCTTTGCTTCACATGAAGAGATTTTGGACCTATAAGTTGTAGCCTAACAAAAGGGCTTTGCAGACTGCCAGAAATAGTGCAAATTGAGTCCACTTTAAGGGTTAGGGTTAGTGCTAGAGAATCATGGGAATTGTGTTTTTTTCTTTCTGAGACATTGAGCCTTCTTTGTCAGAGAGCTCTGGTGCCACAATAAAATACAGTTCCCATGATTCCCTCACCCTAACCCTAACCCTTAAAGTGGACTCAGTTTGCACTATTTCTAGCAATCTGTAAAGGCCCAAAGAACAGTGGTACTTCTTTAATAGGAAATGCGTTCAACAATATTTCTATACCCTCCAACATTTCACAGGGACATATGTGGCCAAGGAACATCAGAATGTGGTCAACATGGGAAAATAATTGTGGTGTAATGGTTTGAGTATTGGACTTTATGTGTGCGTGCATACATGGGTGCGCCTTAAAAGTCTCATTCAATTTATGGCAACCGCATGAATTTCATAGGGTTTTCTTAAGCAAGGAATACTCAAAATGTGAAGTCGTAGGCTTTCATGGCCAGCATCCATAGTTTTTTTGTGGGTTTTTTTGGGCTGTGTGGCCATGTTCTAGAAGAGTTTCTTTCTGACGTTTCGCCAGCATCTGTGGCTAGCATCTTCAGAGAAACAGATCTTTCTCTGAAGATGCTAGCCACAGATACTGGCGAAACGTCAGAAAGAAACTCTTCTAGAACATGGCCATACAGCCTGAAAAAACCCACAAAAAATACTCAAAATGTTTGCCAGTTTTCTCTTCTGAATATAGGTGACAGCAACCTGATATTTAGTGGCTTTCAGTCTTCCAAGTACTAACCAGGTCTGGTCCTGCTTAGCTTCCAAGATTAGACTGGATCTGGTGCCTTTAGGGTATTTAGGTGAGATGTTCATTCCTGAAAAATGCCCATTTTTGGTTTTCTTGTTGTGAAGTGCCCTTGAGTTGACCCCAACCCATTAGTGATCCAATGCCCCTCTAAGCCCCTCTATCCTCTGCTGCTCTGCCCAGGTCCTATAAACTTCAGGCTGGTGTCCTCCTTGATTGAGGACATGAGGACATGCAGTCTACCTCTCCTTCTGCTACTCTCTACCTTTTCTAGCATTATTGTTTTTTCTAGTGAGTCATACCTTCTTATGATGCAGCCAAAGTACAACAGCTTCAATTTGATCAGTTTGGCTTCCAGGGAGACTTCGAGCCTGATCTGTTCAAGGATCCATTTGCTTGTCTTTTTGGATGTCCACAGTATCCTCAGGACTCTTCCCTAGCACCACATCTTAAATGAGTTGATTTTCTTCCAATCAGCTTTCTTCACTGTCCAACATTCATACATGATGATAGAGAATACAATGGCTTGGACAAGTCTTACTTAAGTGTTTATTTATGTATATTTTCTCTTTAGCAACTTGTTTAGTTGCTTCATAGCTGCCCTTCCATTCCTAGTCTTCTTCTGAGTTTTTGCTTGCAATCTCCATTCTGAACAATGCTTATCAAAGGTACAGGAACTCTTTGACTATTTCAGTTTTCTCATTGTGTAGGTTGGATTTATGTAGATCCTCCATGGTCATGATTTTTGTTTTCCTCATGTTCAGCATTGTCTGCCTTTGCACTTTCTTTTTTGACCTTCCTTAGTAATTTTCCCAAGTCTGTGATGTTTTCTGCTGGTAGTATGGTGTCATCCACATATCATCGATTGTTGATGTTAACAATAACACTTGTCTTGAGAGTCCTACATGGTTGCTAGCTCTTTTGTAACTTTTTGCTCTTTAATAGGATTACACTGTCAATATCTTGATTTTTCTTAATTTAATGGACCAATATGGATGCAAACTTTAGGTCAATTATTTTTTTCCTCCTTTTTTTTTTTTTTTTGAATCCATAGGCATTCTTGTAAATCTCATTCAATAAAATATGTAAGAGTACTTCATATTCTTTTTCAAAAATAAACTTGAAGGGTCCATCCCCATACATACAACATTTCACAAAGAACATTTTCAGAACAATTTGTAGACTACTTGTAAAAGAGGCTTGCTTCTGAACAAATATGCCTGGGGTCAAACTACACAAATATTTTCCCCCAAATCTCAATTTCTTAATTCGCATTCTCCTTCTTACAGCACTATTATGGCACAATATTATAAAACACCAGCCTCAATACTGGGCAGAGTGCCAGAAAGGAAAGAATAGGTTCCCCTACCCATCTCAGTTTAAAAAGAGATCAGCTTATAATAAGCATTAGGAACATACAATGAGTTACAGGGAAACTTTATTTTTAGGTGCTTTCCCTACAAATCAATTGCAAATTAAGTGGTGGTAACAAGCTAGGTCCTGCATTGTTCCAATTTAGATTGCATGTGTAGGGTTATATAACTTTACATGTGTGTGTGCATGCGTGTGTCTGTCTAAATAAATAAATAAATAAATAAATAAAACTATGCACACATGAAACTAGATGTCAAGGAGAATAGTTTCAGCATAGCACTTTAAAAAAACATTCCTTAGTCCTTAGTCTCAACAGAGAAACTCTTTCTTGAAGAAACATTTGACTGATAAGTGTTTGAATTCTGACTTACAATCCAAAATAGCCAAACTCTCCCTATTTTTACTGTTGCAACCTACTACTTCTATGAACCAAACTTTTTTGTTTAGAGCAGAGGAAGTCATGGTTTCTACATCTGGACCAGCTGCTTGGCATATGTTTTTGGGTGGTGTATTTGCATCTTTGGCATGAAATGCAAGCATTGTTTTGTTGATGCCTTGCCCTTCCATTTTCCCTTGTCTAGAAAGTAAATGGGTATGGTAAGAGGTCAGTAGTAATGCACATGTTTTATATCTGGGGCAGGCAAGGTGTTGTCCTTCAGATGTTGTTGGACTACAGCATTGTTCTCATTGGCTATGCTGTCTATAGTCCTTTCATCATCTGAAAACCTAGTCTTTGCCTGGTCCTGTTATATGTGCAGAAAGTAAAGTATTTGAGATGTCCTGCTAAGAGTCTCACAGACTTCTGCTACTGCAAGGCTGAGATAAAACTCTGGTTGATAACCTGAAGAGCTTGTATTATTTGGAGGTGACTGGCTTTGTTGGATGCATGAATGATCTAACTTTGGTGCAAGGTAGCTTTTTGGGTTTATAAGAAAAGTTTCATCTATTTCAACCATGTGAATCTATTTGTCTCCTGCATAGGTTCTACCTATTTGTTCAAGATGTGCATCTTCAGCACCCACATTTAGAATCCCTGCATGTTATAACTTGCTACTTACCTATGGAAGTAGTAGATGAATATGTATGTGCATATTATCTATGTATGGTGTGGATTTCAGGATGCATTTTTTCAACAATAGTTATTTAGTAGTATTAATGGGGCAGATGAAATTGTCATTGTTCTTTGCTAGTCAAATAAACATCTGCTGTAGCTTCATGCTACAAGGGAGACTTTCATCAAGCCACATGGCTGAGACCACCTTGAAGACAAGAAGATATTTGTGTTCACTCCAAATGCAGAGCAGAAAATCAAATGCAGTCAAAGGCAAATGATGGAAAAGAAGCTGCATGACAATCACTTTCCAAACAATTTCATTCAAGAGGAAATAAAAACAAACTTCAACACAGAAAAATGAGAAATAATTCTTTTACTGTGCAGTACAACCTTGCTATACTTGGTTTGATACTGCTGACCAACTGCAGGTTGGTCAGGCAAATTCTTCCTTAAGCTTCATGGCTTGGGAGGGTCTATCAGATAGGATGGAAGGTTGTACAATATGATAGAGGTATTTTAAATTATCCATGGTATGGAAGAATTAGGTAGAGTGAAGTTGTCTGCTCTCAGTACAGGAGAAAGCTTCCAACTTTTGAAAAATGGTCGCCAGAGCAAGTTAAGTGACTCAGGCTGCACTCGGGCTGCTTTCAGATGGTAGATTTTTTGGGGAAAGCCATGTGATAGGATCCAGATGCAGCCAGAGTTTTATTTGAATTTGGGAGAGGAAAGTCATGTTTTCCACCGTTTTTTAGCTTGTGCGATAATCTCCTTAGAGAAAATAATTATGTACATCAAGGCATTTCAGTTCTGAGAATAAGCTGTATTTTGAGCAATTCCCCCCAGGCTTTTGGGGAGTTGTGGAGAAGCAAAACACCATATTTTGGGTTGATTTTTCAGCCATTATTTTTTTTTAAAAATGTGGTCATCTCTTGAGAGGAGAATCTCTGAGGGCCACATGACTCTTGATTTCTGATATTTACAACTGAAGATGCCTAGTTCTTCAAGTGAGAGTCAATGTGGTATTGTGATTTGAGTGCCAAACATGGACTTTGGGAGATCAGGGTTTGAATCCCTGTTCAACCATGGAAACCCACTGGTTGACTCTGAGCAAGTCCCACTCTTTCAGCCTAAGAGGAAGGCAATGGCAAATCTTCTTGGAGTAAATCTTGACAGGAAAACCCCTGATAAAGTGGCCATAAGTCAGTCTAGACTTGAAGGCACATGGCAATAACTGTTCTTCAGCTAGGTCACAGTTTGATTAATAGTTACTTCTTAAAGTTCATTAAGATTATGCCCTAATCATACATGTATAACATTTCTTCATAGGTTGTCGTTTGTCATTGAAGGATCATATGCGTTTTCTCTTTGATTTAAGGAATAAAATAAATGGGAAGCACCCTATTTCAAATATACCTGCATCTCTTTCTCTTTTATTTTATTTCATTTCACAAGTGATTTTTTTTCTGAGAGTTCTGTCACTCCAACCTTGTTCAACCATGCAATTAAATCAGCTTCCTAAGAGCAATAAGGAGACAGTCTGTCTGTGGATTTCCCACCCTCTAGAGAGCCTGCGTGGCATAGTGGTTTGAGTGTTGGACTACAACTCTGGAAACCAGGGTCCGATTCCTAGCTCAGTCATGAAAACTGCTGGGTTACCCTGGGGAAGTCACATGCTTTTGGCCTCAGGAGAAGGCAATGGCAAACCTCCTCTGAACAAATCTTGTCAAGAAAACCCCATGATAGATTTGCCTTAGGGATGTCATGAGTCAGGAATGACTTGAAGGCACACAACAACAACAACAGCAACAACAACAGCAACAACAACAGCAACAGGATGATGGACTAGATGGACCATTGTCCCGACACAGCCAATCACTCCTTAAAGGCTGTGAGGCTGGTCCTATCTTTATGCAAAGTGCAATGATCACCATAGGTGGAAGATTTCATTGAGTTGGAGAAGCAGGAAGGGTTTTGGAGATTGCTGCACACTACACAACCTGTCCTGTGCTCACGGCCTCTACAGACTGCCAGAAATAGTGCAGCTTGAGACCACTTTAACTGCCCTGGCTCAGTGCTAAGGAATCATGGGAAATGTAGTTTATTGTGGCACCAGAGCTCTCTCAATGTCCCAGAAAAAATACAATTCCCATGATTCCCTAGCACTGAGCCAGGAGAGTTAAAGTGGCCTCAAGCTGCAATATTTCTGGCAGTCTGCAAAGGCCCTAAGATTGCCTGCTGCCTTCTGGTACAGTAGAGAGCATTGTCACATAAATTGTTGAAGAAAGATTCAATTAATTATCTAGTTGACTTAGGTACATGGAATGGGAAGGCTGCCATCTTGGTTTCACTGCAGGCAGTAAAGTGTATTCTGTCCACCCCTGAAGGCATGAGTCAGAAGTAGTGATGAACTATTTTCTGTTTCATTGTTTTTGAGAATGCCTCTAAATTTGCCTTCCAGGGAAGGTCTGTTTAAATTATTGTTATTGTGTGCCTTCAAGTCATTTCCAACTTATGATGATTCTAAGGTGAAGTTATAACAGGGTTTTCTCAGAAGGATTTCTTCAGAAAGGTTTGCCATTGCTTTCCTTTGAGGCTGAGAGGGTGTAACTTGCCCAGGTCAGTTGCCATGAGTTATCTATTAGTGGTTCTATTTCTTATGGAATTTTCCCCAACTGCACAAACCATTGTAGTGGCACTGTGGCATAAACGACCTTGCATGGAGGAAGAAATATATACCATAATGTCTACAAAAAATGTTCTGGTCTGTGAAAGCACAAGTCTCTTCCTACCTTCAGTCCTCAGTCTTCTATATTCTTTGCTATGGGTAAAATTACATGCAGTTACACCTTTTTTGCAGTTGAAGGAGAGTCTTAACTTGTTTCCCAAGGCAGTTAGCTTTGATATTTTGCCAAATGTCTCATCATATTTGACATGTAGCTCACAGAATATATCTCACCTGTACTTTTAACAAAGCAGTTAAACCTGCTTTCATTTTTTTTAAAAAAGTATTATCCATTAAGGTTATTGTAGCTGCCTGTAAAATGGTACATATTGATGAGTAGCATTTTTTTTTTTTT